TTCTTTGGCTGACTCTTTTAAACCATACTCTGTAAAGGATGGCTTACTGATGAGATCGCTATCACCCCGACTTGCACCTCAGCTCGGAGGGGAACATAAGCAATTCGTACAGCTGGGGTTTGGCAGAAACAGATGAGATACAAACTGGGTGGACCCTGAATCTGAAGTTTCGCAAAGTAAATCAAAAGTGTGCTCTGGGGATAGCTTTCTGCTATCAAAGTAGTGCAAAGGGTGAGTCAGGACGTCCAATCCGTCTTGCCTCAGATTCATGTGGGAGAGGACTTCAGCAGTAGGCTGGTGTGTGTGAAATGAGAGCGTGATTTTGTTTAAGGGCATATTTTCTGTTGTCAAGTTATGCCTCAGTGAAAGTGCTCAGCCCTTGGTTCCTGCGCAAACATCACAAGCCATGGGAATCTCGTCGGCGAGGTGACTCCGTGCCCAGGACAGCCCTCGTCTGGCTGCCGGGCTTCCTTCTGCTTGTGCGGGCACCGTTTCTTCAGCTGTTAGAGCTGCAGAAGTGAAAATTAGATTGATATTGCAAAACCAAAACATATCATCACTACAGATCAGACAACCCAGATAGACTCTTTTTTTTTTTTTTGGAAAAAGACAAACAGAAAAAAAATACCGTTAACTGTAGAACTTTCCACTTCTGACTGCAGAGGTTTCACACTGAAGTGTGAGTGCAATAGCGTGATATGTTCACAGCCAAGCAATGAGGGCAGACTCTACCGAAAGGCATTTCTGTCTCAATTAAGTCAGTTATTCCGTCTGCTCATGGACATGACAGAAAGATATAGGATTGAGGAATGACATTCCTGTACTTCGCAGTCCTATCAAGATGAACATCCTTTTCCTGGAAATGCCATGAAATAATAGTTTCCAAACGTGCAGCACAAGTAATAGCGTGCACACTTAATTCTTTCCTTATTGCAACAGCCTCAGAAATACAGGCTCTACTTAAAATGTAAAAAAACACTAGTTATATACGACAGTGCTTTTTATTACCTAATTTTTTTTGAAACGGCATGTTCTGAAAACAATGTTTCAGCAGGAGGCTGGTTTTGAAGAGCCTTTCACTGTCTCCCTGCAACATGTAAATGAGCGTGGATAAATCAGACTGGGCGTTTCAGCCCTCTCCTTCCCTGTACATCCTGCAGCAAACGCCTTTGCTTTCTTAACAGCTTTGCAGGCAGCAAGTCTCATTTCAGGCAGACATTCAGTGGTATTCCTGTCTGTGTGTGTGCTTCTGGGCTCAGGCAGCAGAGGTGACAGGGAGGGATGCAGCTCAAACCTGAATAAGAAAAGTTGGGTGAAGGGCAAAATAGAGCCATTTTATGGTCCCTTGCATAAATCAGCCCTTGTGCATCTGCCTGGGTGCATTTTAGCTGTAGGGATGGTTAAGTCTCACTATGTTTTTATGCCTTTGTAATGAAGTCATTCAGTATCAGAAAGCACTGTGCGCTGATCAGCCAGCAGACTTTACACACGTACATGTGTGTAAACTGTAGATGTGTTTTTGCACTGCCAACCAGGTAATCCTGTATTTTGTTTTAAACGGCCTGACCCTGAACTCAGCGGAGGCTCCGTAAGGCTTTGGCTTGGGCTCACATGTGTTGTTAATCAAGCAGAGGCATTAGATTCCCCATGAGTGGTGGTGGGAGGACAACACCTGTGTTTCTGTCTCTTGGGTTTCATGACCTTTTAGTGCCAAGGGCTCTGGGCAGCCACCATCGCCACCATGCTGCAGTGCTTCAGGACATTCCTCCCTGTAAATACCAGGAATCTGAGGACTACTCCTTGGACCATTTTTATATATCATATATATCAGTTATATAGGCACACAAGAACTTTTCAGTTTGGGATTGTCTCAGAAGATAGCAAGTCACAGTCAGGAAGACATGGTGGTGCTACCTCTGCCTCTGCCCACTCAGACAGCCCTAGTCGCCTCAGCTGTTCCTGCTAGAGTTAGAGAACTGCCTGAAAGAGGTGGAGGAAGAAATGAAATCTTGATTAACTCTGACACCTGGTGGACAATTAGCAGAGGGAGATGAGCCAGGGCAGGGGAACCTGTCCCTGTGGCAGGCCAGGCACCGTGTGCATCACGTGGCTGCACATGGCTTTCCGCCCCAGAAGGCGAAGGCTGAACTGTGGTATCATATGTGTGCACACAGTATCATCCTTCATGTTCAGAGACAGCAGCATGCAATCTAGTTACAATCTCGTCCTGTAGCTGTCACATGAATTGTAAATACAGGCTAACTGTATCTAGGGTCATCCATGAGCAAACTGACTGCTATGACTCACTTGAACTCAGACTCACTTAAGAACATGAGTCCACTGGACAGTTTTTAAGTAATAATGTTCCTTAAAATGGAACGTTTTGCAAATGCACCTAAACCTCCATGATTTCTGTGGCTGCGTGGCACTCATGTATTTTGGAGAAACATAGGTCAGTCAGTCTAACCTTGACATCCAAGGAAACGCAAACAGCTAATAACTTCAAAAGTGACTGCTCAATGGCTTCTTGCCAAACAGGGAGGTCACATGAGGAGACAGAAACCGGGTGCACTGAGCAGAGCTGTCAATGAGGACGGGGACATCAGCCAGCACGTCCACCTAGAGCTGCGGGTGACACCGACGGAAAGGGATCACAAACCTCTCGAGCACCAGAAATTCAAAGCGGCCTCAAGAAATGGGATGCAATCTAAAAGATGACATTTCAAACAAAGGAGAAATATTCCTCCTGAAAAGGAGGAATGCCTAAACGCAAAATCAAGACTTAGTGTCCAGTTCCCAGACAGCCGATAACTCCTTCCTGCCAGTACCACTGAACAAAGCATCTCACCTGAGCTTGCTCCAGAGCTGCCTCAGGGACGAGGCTTAATGGGAGTGACTTGCAGCCTGCAGCAATTGTCCTAGAGGAACAAAAACAGCCTGCAAGGGTTGCTTTGGGACACCTGGCCTCTGTATACTCATGCTGACTCAGTAAAGGAGACGGACTGGATAGAGTTTCTTGATTACGGCATTTCATTGATGCTTTGGTGCAACTAAAGGGTTGGGTGCAGCCCAACCTGCCCAACCTACCCATTTATCAATCAAACTTGAACAGCTGTTACGCTTACTAACATCTTACATTGTGCTTGATTTTCAATGCCATCTGCTTTGAGTTGTAATGAAATGAATAGAGGGCATTGAATAACCGGTCTCAATTTGCATCAGAAATTGGCAACAGTCATACTTTAAAGGCAAGGAAAAATATACTTGCTACCCTTTGTTTGGAAAGAAAAAAAAAAAACCTTGGATACAAGTCATCAGAGTGGCTGTATACTTCATGTTCTGCCCAACCCAACTAGTGGGTGTAGCCCACTTGCTACAGCTGATGGTGCTGCAGGACATAAATCAGCAGGCCTTGCTTTTTGAAGACTGGGAGAAAATGAAACTTAAGGAAAGGGAAGTTTAAGAAGAAAAGCAAGAAAGCTGGCAGTAGGGTCTGTTCAGAGCCCCCGTAGGTGCAGTGTTTGGTGGTTTTCCTCACTGTCCACGTACGCAAGCCAGCCGTTTAGGCAGTGTTGAGCTTGGACTATGTCCTGTGCTAGGACTTTGCCAATTCTAGGCATTTCTGGGGCCTGGATTGGTCCCATGGACCAATGGAAGGGTTGTAACTCAGGCCCCAGAAATGCCTAGTGCTGCCAACTTCAAGTACCACAACGATTAACAAACTGAAAAAAACAGCCATTTGTGTTCTCTGCGACTTGAGAACTCTAAACTCTTTACTTTTTTTTTCTTTTTTATAATATGAAGGAAAAAAAGCATTAGTAACAGGATGTGAGTTACTAATACCTACCTACAGAGACACTTTTTCAAATGTGTCCCTTGTAAGTGATACTTGCAGAAAATGAGTCACAAGCAATGAATCAGTGTCTGCAGAGCTACATGAAATAGAAAGCCAATATTCAACTTTTTTAACTCTTAAATTAGACACAGGAGGGAATCACTGTACCAAGAATTACAACCCTATGGGGAAATACCCAGTGAAACCAAAGTCTTCCTGCCTGTGTTACCCTCCTGAGAAAAGTCTCAGTTAAAAAGGATAACAAAAGAAAGAAGGCCCAACAGTTCAGTCTGACACGTAGCCATCTCTACTCATCTGAATCAAAGGAGAGCCAGATTTTGGGAATATCTCAAAATAAAATTATCCAAAGAGGAGAAGCGTTAGACTGAGGATGCTGGGGTGATGAGAAATGGAAGCTTGTGATCAGATTAAGTCTCTGCCTTTTCCTTTTATTTAAACACAGGTCAGTACACTTCAGGAGCAGTAACTGCATTTACAGCCTTCAAGCTCTTCAAGCCTGCTTCCCACTCCCCTTTCCCCCAGAAAGGCCACATGGGCTCTCCTCATCACGCCAGGGGAGCTGGGTCCATCAGGTCTGCTGATACTTGACTTGGTCCCGAGACACCAATGCAATGCCCAAGTGGCAACTTAATGGCAGGTCTAATGCAGTGGCTGGCACCCGCATTTTGGTCTCTAGGCCATGTGCAGAGGCCTCTAGCCTTCACACGCAGAAGCTGGGCGGCGGCATACCTTCCTTTAGCTTATTCCTGAAATACCACATGGCTTATGCTGGCTGCTATTACCCTGCTAGCCAGTTACCCACCATAGGTGGTCTCGAGCTGTCAAAGGATGGGCAGCTTTTCCTACTTGTAACCTATGCCAAGTAGTTTGGCACAGCTTCACCCACGCTTACGTTTTTGAGGCAGTCCCCATTTCAGGTCCTGAAATAGGATCACTTGTTTAAATATATTTAAGGTAGCCTGAAAATTCCCCTGTTCAGTGTGTTGCTCTGCCATGGATTTCCTGCATGACCTTAAGGATGAGTCTTTTAGTGCGTGAGCTCTCTGCTTTACAGATGGTGACAGGAGCAGAGCCTTTTGTGGGGCATGTGGATAGCACAGCAAGGGGACCAACAGTGACAGCAGTGGTGGGAGACCTCTGAAGAGGTAGCTTTGAAGAATAAAGTGAGATGCTTTATATAGAAGACATTTCAAAACCTCTACTTTCTACCAAAATTCAAATAAGAAATGCAAATTATTGCAGTACCTTTGCCTTTACAACCTTTGTTTTTATTCCCTACAGAAATGTCCTGTCCATCCTACCTTGTGCCAAACATTTCCAGCAGCCCTGTCACGATGCAGAGCAACAGAACTTGTCCTGATCCTGTTATAACGTTTAAATATAGCTTGTATGCAACCACTTACACCATCATATTCATACCCGGGCTTCTGGCAAACAGTGCTGCCTTGTGGGTTTTATGTCGCTTCATCAGCAAGAAGAACAAAGCTGTGATTTTCATGATCAATCTGGCCATGGCCGACCTGGCTCACGTTCTCTCACTGCCACTGCGAATATACTACTATACTAACCACACATGGCCTTTTGGGAGGTTCCTTTGCTTACTGTGTTTCTACCTGAAGTATCTCAACATGTACGCGAGCATTTGCTTCCTCACCTGCATCAGCATCCAGAGGTACCTCTTCCTGTACCAGCCATTCAAAGCTAAGGACTGGAAGCGGCGGTACGACCTGGCCATCAGCGCCGTGGTGTGGCTGTTCGTGGGGGCAGCTTGCTCACCGTTTCCCATCATGCGAAACTACGGCCTAGCCAACAGTACAAATACCTGCTTTGCAGACCTCGAAGTCCGGCAGATCAACAGCAAGGTGGCCACGGTGCTGATGACAACGACAGCGGAGCTATTTGGGTTCGTGGGCCCTCTTGTTATTATTTTATTCTGCACTTTGAAAACAAAAGATTCCCTTCGGGGATTCCAGATACCGCTGCAAAACAGCAGCGAGAGGCAGAAAGCTTTACGGATGGTTTCCATGTGCGCCATTGTGTTCTTTGTGTGTTTTGCACCGTACCACATCAACTTCTTTTTCTACATGATGGTGAAAGAAAATGTTATTACAGACTGTTCCTTACGTACAATCACTCTTTACACACAACCCTTTTGCTTAAGTCTTGCAAGTCTGGACTGCTGTTTGGATCCAATCCTGTATTTCTTCATGACTTCAGACTTTCAGGATCAGATATCAAGGCATAGCAGCATGGTCATCAGGAGTCGGCTCATGAGCAAAGAAAGCGCCTCATCAATTAAGGAATGAAAAGAAGGCTTGAAAAATTAACAAAGTATTTTGTATGAAATCTAGGACTGTTCTGTTATGTTCACTTACCAACCGTTAAGGAAGATCCTGCAAGTTTGCTTTTTCAGAGGAGTTTTGCGGCAGTGGAAATCTTTTGATTTACACAAAGTAAGAAGGAAAAAAGTAAAAGCGTGTTAGTAGCTGCTGAGTGACCCAGCTGGTGTGACTGCACCTGCTGACGTGATGCCCACGCCTGACCCGACCGGACCGCAAAAGTGCAGACGGGAGCAGAGAGGCTTTCGCTGGGACACAGCGGAAATGTCCCAGCAGCCTTTTTGTATTTTTCCAACTTTAGTAGTTTTCTGGCCAAGCCGAAGATAATCATACGCTGACATCCACCAAAGTGTCTTCTCAATTAAAAATATGCAGTGCATACGAGAAGCTGAAAATGGCCAATAACACTCAGTGACTGTTTCAGGTCTCTACGCTCAGGCACACGGCACGTGAAAGGTTCACAGCTTGCTTCAGCACGGCAGCCTCAGGGTGCTGACTTTAAGTACACCCTGCGAGTCACAACACTTGCATTTGTTTTGTTCTCTTTGTATTTCTCCCTTCCTGTCTCGTTCATCATGTGTTTCCTCTCACTCAGCTCTAAGCTTGCTCTCCACTGCTGACCCAGCCTGCAATTGCAACTACAGCCACCACCATGGCAAGTGCCCCGCGCTGCCGCACAAGCTCTCCCCTGACTCTGCAGCCGCTCTGGGGAGCGGGACTGGCTCTGCTCCGATTGCCTCTTTCCCCCCGGCTGCCCGCTTCGCAACGGGGTGCTGCGGCGCAAGGCGTCTGCGTCAGGACTGCGGGGTTCAGGACCGCGAGGAGCCTCTGGCGGCTGCGGGGAGCCCATCTGCTCGGACTAAGCACCAGTGCAGGCTGGATTTAATGCCCCAGTGGCTCCGTTCGAGCCCCTGCTCTGTTCTGCGTGAGGCCGTCTTAGGCCAAGAGGGATCTGTGACGGTTCCACCATGAAACGCGTCCTCAACAAAATCAGCTGAAAAATCTTTAAAAAAAGTAAGGTGTCCTTGCCATGATTATTTCACTAATCGAGCAATGGCTAATTTCTTCAAGTAAACTCACAGGTATTTTTCCCATCATCCCCTCTTATGACCTTAATGTTTACATTTTTATGACTTCATTAATTATTGCTAATTGACTATTAAAAGCAGTCACAAGACAGGATTCCGTTTACCCCTAAAGTGTTTTAAGTACGTCATAGCTCTTAGGCCAAATTCATCCAGTTTGTGTAACTTCAAGGCTTTCAGCGTGCCGATAGCTGGGGATAGTTTTGGCCGAACACAGGCACTGATTTATACCCTTTGGAAAGCCTGGGGCTTTTCAAAAGCATTCTGAGAAAGTCTCAGTAAACATCAGTGGCAGCGCCTCAGATGTTACTGTAACATTCAAGGAATTTCAGAAACGCTTGCTAAGTATAACTGAAATCTAACTACTTAATTCCACTTTGTTACATTTTGACTCAATCAAAATTTTTCTGCATATTAGTTTTACACACAGTGAAGAGGGAAAAAGCAAACAACAGCCAGGTTTAAATAACCATGACACCAGAGTTCCTCTAAAAGGCAGTGAAGACATACTGTTTCAATAGAATAAGCTACTGTAGTTCTCCTGTTTGTAAAAAGATGATTATGGTCTGTAGTATGGGGAATTTAATCTTACACATGCACGAGAGTACTGAAATGTGCTTATCTGAAGGAAATAGCTTTTAAGAACACTGTATTCTTGCAAGTTGCTCTAGTTTCGTAGTGAGAAAACTACAGAGCAAGTGAACAGTCCATCTCTCATTGAAGGCAATGGACATTTTTCCACTGGTTTAACTGGGCAGTTTATTATGCCAATGTTATATGTATGCTCGTTTACACACTGCAGGTAATCCCTTTAAAATGTGAGCAGAGGTTGATGCTCAGGTATAGTTAAGCATGTACAATGCAATTCTTGCCAACTTAGCAACTTTCTCACGAGCTAGATACTGTACAACATCATCCGTGAATAAGACTCTAGTTTCAATGGTTGTTTTGAGGATTTTTATAGACCTTGATTACCTAGCATGTAGCTAGGAGCTGCTTACTGTAATTGCCTTCTCAAACAATTCTGCATTTATGAGGTGGAAACAAGTTGAAGACACTGCTATGGTAACTGTGTAGCTTGTTCTACATTTTTCCTTCTAAAAATTGATGCTTAAAAAATAAACGCGTTTTGGCAACTGTAAACTGAGTTTCATAGTTATCACTTACACCTGCAGAACCAAATGAGATCAGTTTCTCCATCACATAAATCACAGACTTACCCTACCCTGATTAAGTGCCTTGGCCACTACCAGCTTCTGTTATTCTTAAACAGATTGCTTGCCTGTCTACAGAAAGGTTTTCACTCCAGTCAAATAGGATTATTTTCATTTTTTTTAAAAACTACAACAATTAAATTGGATTTAGCCATATTTTGTGGATAGAAAGGTGCTTCAGAGCAGGACAGCTTCTCACCCTTCCCCTGCAGGAATAGGTGCGGTGCTGAAGAGCTGTCAGTCATAACCCCAGGGATGCCCGCGTCCCGGCATGGGGCACGACTGGTTGAAGCTGACTGACCAGGGTCATTTTTATGTACAAGCAGGACTGTAGAAACGAAGACTATGTCTTACCCAAAAATCAATTTGTAGATCCAAACCTATGTGGCTTGAAAAAGCACGAGCACCATGTAACTAGTAAGGATAGTCCTCTATGCACTCAAAGTTGAAATGTGGAATTGTCAGGGGAACGCGGTCTCTCAGTTTCTGGGGAGTGACAGCAACTCTCCCACCCTGAACATTGCATTCTGGGAGGAAAGGCTTTTTGGACGAATGCCATAGGGAGTACAGATAACTTTTTGTGAGACTTGAGGTCCCCGGACTCATGAGAGCAGTTGTTTGGTGAGCAACACGCTCTCTCTTTGTCACTTGCTCCGAGGCCATTTTGTGCTTATCTACCCTGATTTCTGGGAAGGATGAGTCAACATCAATATAAACAGATATGGTAGCTCTGTAAGGGTGACATCCCTGTCACCACAACAGCATCCCTAAGCACCCTCAGCCTCGATCACTCATGCTGGAGCCCCGGTCTTCCTGCCTCTTCTCCTCTCTGAGCTCCCTTAGACCCACATGAAACCAGTCCCTTTTACATATTGCAGTAGAAAGCTGGGGCAAAGTCAGTGCATGATGTATTCCCCCTCTCTGGCACTCGCGCTGGTCAGAAGACAGTCTCAGTTACATCCAGGAGCAATGCATCTGCTAGCAAAAGAAAAAGCGTTCCTTTGCAGGGTGAGCAAGCAGTCACCCTATCTTAACTGATATCAGAACGCTGATAATTCCTCTCCCAGTCTAAGCCCATAGATACGTCTGTGAGAACGGGGCCCCTGTGCACAACACCAAATGCATTTGGAAAGAAACAGAACCAGCGGTGTAACTCACAGTACTTAACACCTCTCTTCAAGCCTCAGATTGAGCTGGAGGATTTTGTGAGCACCTTGGCTTTGTTTTCTTTTCCTAAATGAAATTACCAGTGCTCTGTGCAGAGAAAAATCAAGATATGCTGTAAATATAGGCTAGCAGCTCAAAAACTAGGAGACAACTCAAAAAGTATGAATAGTCTTTGTTCTATTTCACAGATTTTGGAGTCACGACATGTGAATTTTGACCAGAAATCCCTCATCTACAGTTTACACAAGGGCTCATTCTGAAAAGGTAGAGGGGGACTGACAAGTTTTTACTCTAAAATAAATTGAAGCCTCCTAAAAAGACTATCTCTGTAGAGGCCACTTGGGTGTAGTGGTGAAGCTCAGCTGTGTGCAGCAGGCCACCAGCAACTCACTTGCACGGCACTAAGAGCCAGATAGTGATGCCTTCGGTCTGAGCATACCAGCTCTCTGCACAAGGGTGAGTTGCTATTTGTGGGGATAAGACCTCTTCCTTCTGAAAAGCCCAGGTTTGTTTTTCCATACATCCTTCAGGTGCATCCTGTCAGATGTCACCAAATGCAGAACATGAAAGAGGTGCCCATTATATGCATTTGGCCTTCTGCCCACAGGATACCAGTCTAAAGGCAAAGAACCAAAGGCCTTAGATAAAAGTTTCACAGTGATTTAAAAATTCCTTTTATCTTCTGCCTTTAAAAATGTAAAATTGCATAGTGTAAAATATGCATGTTTAGTGTTAACAATGAGCCAGAATAAAAATACACATGCAGTTGAAAAAAGAATGAAAAAAGTTGTTTAGTATATGTCGAAGGGACAGGCTTGATGCTCTTCAGCCCACTGACCTTTCACAGCCAGGAATGACACGACCTTCTGCAAAGCACAGCAGAGAGCTGATGAGCAGAGGAGGGACGTGACATGATTATGAACCCAAAGTGCCAGTCTGGTCCTCACTGCAGACTGACAGCCAATGACCCTCCCGCCCCACCACCCCTGCTCTCAGTAGGTACCTATAAATAGGCTGCAGCAGCAGCTGGAGAGGATGCTGGATGTGTGCCTTGCTCACAGAAGTAGGAAGCGCTAGCCTGGATATCCTGATAAGATAGCCACTTGGTTTGTGAAAAACCTCCAAACTCTGGAGAGAGGCAGGCACTGGAACAGTGCCCATCTCCCCGTTACGGATTCGGGAACACTGCAGCAAACACCTGAGCATCGTTCTTGCTGCCAAGGATCTGCATCAGCTGCTGAAAAAGATGCACAGGGAGAAAACCTCGAAGGATGAGCAGTATTTACACCCTGCCAGGCTAGGGCTTTGCTCTTGGTTGACACTGCAAGCACGGGGCTTTGCAGGGTTTTTTTGTGGATAAAATTTAAAAATGATAGATAAGCACACAGTAATGCAGAAGCCATAGATACAACTATAAGTGTTAGTATACGATCTGTTTGGATCTCCCCTAAAATGCGTTTTCCTTCCAAAACCAGCAGAATATACCTGCAGTTACTTGGTCCTGACAGCGGGGAGCTGCTGTCCCTGCGCTCTGCCTTCGCGAGGACGTGGAGCCGTGGAGCAAAGCAACCGCCCGTCCAGCGAGCGCAGTACGTCCCCGTCAAGGGTCCTCCTCTCCCTTTCTTTCGGCACTGTCACGAAGCGCTGCTTCAGGGCGCACCGACGTGCCACTGCTCTCGGACGCCCGGGACAGCGCTCCCGCCCGCGCAGCGGCACCCCCGCAACGGCACGGCTTTCGGAGCTGGGGTGCTCAACTGCAATGGGAACAGATGCAAGCCCGATCCCAGACCCTGGCTACATAAAAAGGCTATAACGTCTTCCTTTTTTCATTTCTGTTCTCAGTTACGTTTCTGCTCCTTTTGTGGGGTCATATAACCAATTAAAAAAAAATCTAGAAAAAGTAGTCCTATTTATATATTATATGTAATAAGAAAGGGAAACATGCCAGGAGGCATATCATTGCAAACACTGGGCCATAAGATGCAACACTAAATATTACATAACGCTGTCCAGCTGGAGATGAATCACAGTAAGTCACACTACAATGATTGCATCTATCATATATGCAACGTATGCATACGCTGATCACGAGAGTCGGGAAGGGAGGTCGTCTTTCCCAGGTCCTCTGCAGGCAGTAGGAGAATTAACACACCCACTCCTCCCCAGAGGGAAGGAGTTAAAGGAGGCAGAAAGACGACAAACATCGATGAAATCGGGGGTGATGGACACTTTTTAAAAAAGCAAATGTTTTGGGAAACTCTCAACCTTAAAACATCAGATTGTTTCAGGAATAAAGCCTAAACCCTTAAAAGCTTTAGCCTATAGCCTTTATAGTCTCAAGACTAACAAAACTTCCAAGGAACAGACAGAAGGGGAGGAAAATTACTACTTTCCAGTGAATTTCTACTGATACGCCTTTCAGTTTTACCTTAGTGAGTACTTAGTGGAAGATTTTTCTTTCTGTATTTCGTCGTTTTTATCAAGCAAATGGCAAGCGATTGATTGCAGATAACAGCAAAAACAGCTTGCCTGAAGGAACGAATGCACAAATCATTGTAACGCACAAGTTCGGTGCAAACAGAAAAAAAGAAATCTGTGCCTGAGTCTTAAATCACCCTGCAGTTGGATCAAATGACGTCATTTGATCTAACTTACGTTGGATCAAATCCAACATGTTTTAACGTCATTAACTCTACACATTTTCTGTGGCGAAGAGAAACAAAATACAGGATTTCCTGTTCTACAGACGCCGTATTGGTCTGCAGATGCCGGCAGGATTTCAGCACTCTGAAATTTCCCTCAACATGCTGAAGTTTAAAGAAGGATCTTTGGGGCTGGGATCTCGGAGAAAAGTTGTAGCGAATAAAAGCAGAAAGATTGCTCCTGCTGCTCGCTAGCATGGATGCCTCCCCCCTGAAGAATGGCAGTTCCAGGAAGGTAAGCTTGATTTCTCTAACAGTTTCTTCAGTAGATATAAGTTACCGCAATGTTGAGCAATATTTTCATCCCCCCCCAAGGTCTTACCAGACAAACGCTGGTACAATGTCCTCCACAGCTTTGGACAGTGGAAATTTATTCCTATTTCTTTTCATTCTGAAGGGCTGGGGGAGCAGAGGACAGTGCGTTAGAGCACAAGCCTGCTATGTGCAGCTGCAAATAGGCAAAGTCTGTTTTACCGAAAATACTTCAGAACCGTTTTGATTGACAGAAGCTACTATAACCGCTCCGTTCTGTTTACGTGCTTTCTACTAGTGCCTGGATTGAAAAAGCAAATGAAATTACTGCTTAAAGCAGAAGGTCCAGAAAGCCTCTACTGCTTAAAATAAGAAGCTTTAGAAAAACTTATTTGAAGCCAAAAGCAGATTTTTTTTTTTTTCACTAGCCTGCTTGTCCTTCCAGCATCTAAGGATTTGAGCAGGTCCAAGGGAGGACGCTCTGCCGTAGAGAGCGGGCTCCGATGTGACCGAGGACTCCCCAAAGCTGGGGGCTCCTCAGACGTGCAGTTTGGAGGGCAGCTTCGTAATACTTTGAAGAACAAATACATGGAAAAGATGAGGGCAAACACGCCAGTAAATCTGGGAGCAGTAAAGGCAATACCGCAGAAATGTAGAACTGGGTGGGGCACGCAGTGATTCAGAATAACCAGGCAATTTTCAATAACGAGAGCCGCATACGGATCTAGAAAAAGAAATTGCTAACACACTCAGAAAACGGAACAAGGGTATTATCATCGCTGTCTTAAGCCGCTAATTAATTGCAAACATCAGTTGTTGATTAAAAAAAAAATCACAGTGCTACATGCACCACCAGCGCTCTGATTCTGCCGGTGGCAATAGCTTTCTCCCCCCTCTACTTGCAGCCAGACAGGAATTAATTTTAGCATGCAGCTGGATAAAACTCAGCTTTGCCACTCAGAAAAAAGCCTGCACAGCTACCGCCCGCGTGTAAACCGGTGCGTGCACGGGCAGCGCGTTCGAGGCTGCTTCGCCCCGCGCAGCTCCTCTCCCGGGGAGCTGACGGCACCCGCTCGCTCGACCCTGGCGGCACTTACAGCAAGAGCATCCACGTGCTGCGAGCGGCCTTTGAGCGCTGGCACACCGGCAATAAGGACAAACAAAAAAAATCAAGGAGTTGCAAGGAGTATTTTCTGCAGGGACGGGGGCCCCGAGCAGCACCTCGGCCCCGACCCAGCGTCACGGGTGGCAAAACACGGAGAGAGCTGCAGGGACGCGGGGCGAGGTACAGGCGAGACAAAGCTCCCCGCCGAG